TCCATGTTATTTGTCAACTACCCATGTACAAATGATGATTAAAATTATATATATATATATATACTAACAAATTTTCACTAAAAATACATGCTGCAGTGTTCCTCATGCTATACTTCATTAAAAACCTGTTATATGATAATTATTACACATGCAGTTTTTATGACTTCATATTAAATTATAAACTACTAGTTTTAAAATTCACTCACCTCCACAGAACTAGGCCAGTAAAAGGCCAAAAGCGATTAAAACTTGTGAAGAACCTTTTAAAAAACTGTGACCTAAAATATACAATTTACCTTACACATTCAAATAAATTACAACCTAAAATCTTGATGCTGGTAAAAAAAAAATATATATTTATGTCCATGTTATTTGTCAACTACCCATGTACAAATGATGATTAAAATGTTGTGAACTGTGCTTATAACCAGCATCTGACTTATCAGAAAGGATGATGGCGTAATGGGAAAATTGAAAAAAAAAAAAGGAAAAAAGGTTTACCTCTTTTTTTTTCCTAAAAGAACTTCAGCGTCATCCATCATTATAAAATTAGAAAGTGAGCTGCAACTGGCCTATACATTTCAGATGTGTTAAATATTTAAGAGAGCTGAAGAGCACTGCATCTGCTCCCATCAGACATGGCCCACATTTCCAACACGGTGCATTCAGCTCAATCCACTCTAAAGGCTATTAACTATCACATTTTCTGATCAAAGAACTAGTATGACACACTATGACTAAAAACCATAAGACTATTACATGGAACACGACTCTAAAGCACACATTAGTTTAATTGTGGAACATTCTTACCAGCTTGCTAAATTAAGGACTTATACTTTGTGTCAGAATTTATCAGCCTACATCAGCCCTTGAAATAGTCTAAAAATGGCTCCCATCAGACATGGCCCACATTTCCAACACGGTGCATTCAGCTCAATCCACTCTAAAGGCTATTAACAACCACATTTTCTGATCAAAGAACTAGTATGACACACTATGACTAAAAACCATAAGACTATTACATGGAACACGACTCTAAAGCACACATTAGTTTAATTGTGGAACATTCTTACCAGCTTGCTAAATTAAGGACTTATACTTTGTGTCAGAATTTATCAGCCTACATCAGCCCTTGAAATAGTCTAAAAATTATGCACTGTACTTGACAATGAAAGGCTCAGCTTAACAATGTACATGTTTAATATCCAAAAAAAGAAAGACATGAAAAAGATGAGATGTGGGGAAAAAAATAATTGAGGCCAAAGACGAGAATAGTAACCTCCTAAGGGAAGGAGAGACTGTCTTCTTCAATGCTATATATAAAATTTTTTTTTTCCTGTATTCAAGTCCATATTTAGCGGTCAAATCAAATAACAATTTAGCATCCACACATACAGACAAGGTTGTTAATGCCATGCACGGTTTTTACTTGATCAGTGCGACTTATAACAATTGTTAGTGGTTTAAACACACAAACATTGGACATTAAATTCACACATTCGTGAAATTCTACTGTTAATAAAGAACATGAAAATCTACAGAAGAGACAATCAGATCACCATCTATTGCTACACTACACATCTTTACTAAGAGAGCTGAAGAGCACTGCATCTGCTCCCATCAGACATGGCCCACATTTCCAACACGGTGCATTCAGCTCAATCCACTCTAAAGGCTATTAACAACCACATTTTCTGATCAAAGAACTAGTATGACACACTATGACTAAAAACCATAAGACTATTACATGGAACACGACTCTAAAGCACACATTAGTTTAATTGTGGAACATTCTTACCAGCTTGCTAAATTAAGGACTTATACTTTGTGTCAGAATTTATCAGCCTACATCAGCCCTTGAAATAGTCTAAAAATGATGCACTGTACTTGACAATGAAAGGCTCAGCTTAACAATGTACATGTTTAATATCCAAAAAAAGAAAGACATGAAAAAGATGAGATGTGGGGAAAAAAATAATTGAGGCCAAAGACGAGAATAGTAACCTCCTAAGGGAAGGAGAGACTGTCTTCTTCAATGCTATATATATATATAAAAAAATTGTTCCTGTATTCAAGTCCATATTTAGCGGTCAAATCAAGTAACAATTTATCATCCACATATACAGACAAGGTTGTTAATGCCATGCACGGTTTTTACTTGATCAGTGCGACTTATAACAATTGTTAGTGGTTTAAACACACAAACATTGGACATTAAATTCCCACATTCGTGAAATTCTACTGTTAATAAAGAACATGAAAATCTACAGAAGAGACAATCAGATCACCATCTATTGCTACACTACACATCTTTACTTACAGCGATGAATGTTTTCTGCTGTTTTTCTAGTACCACAGAAAGAGGGGGAAAAAACAAAAGCTCTTATTTGGAGAAATAAATGCTCTCTTTAGATTGATACTTTAGTTACATGTGTTTGTAGATCTCATCAAAGCAAAAGCAAGTTCTGGCCTGCCAGTTTACTGAACATGGCAAACAGGGAAATGTTGAACAGACATTACATTTCGCTGTCCTCTGCTATGATCATTAGTGCTTTCTTCAGTTAGTAAACACTGTTGTATGGCGTGTTGGATATTATCTCTCAGAGCAGCACTTCCTTTCATGCTTAACTGATTAAACAAAGGAAATATGCTGTGAAATACTTCTATAACGGAATATATGTGAGAGAACACGCTGTTATGACTCTAAAACCGCAGTGAAATGTACTGAGTGGGATTAAAGGCAATCTTCTGACTCACAGTTCATCTGAATCTCACACTCAAATACAAAGCAGCAACTAGACAAGCGTTTCCGGGTCGAATCGAGAGTCAAAAGACAGCTTTAAAGTTTAAGTATTCATAAAACGCTTCGTATGAACGCCAAGCTGTGAACAGCGTTTAGGTGATTAATTAAAAGTGCCAACTTAACATATTAAATCCAGCTGTCAAACTGACCGGCTAGTGAACAAACTCTTCGCAATAACATGACAACGTGAAAATATGAATTTATTTGACAGAGGTAAACCACACAAAGCGTCCACACTGAACAGACCACCTAGGGCCCGACAGGTGAGATGTGAATTTTTAAACAGGGTTTGAGGTGTCCAGGAAGCTGACTGTACTGACTTAGCCGTAGCTAGCTAGCTCAGCCTGAAAAGTGCAGATTAATGTCTCTATAAGAGTATAACTTACCATTTTGACGGCTTATTGAGAGCAGTCAGGTATTTTCAGTGAACAGCAAACCGCTTATTGGTCAATACCGCGAGATATTATCAATACATGTCTCATTGACTGCTCGTAGTTTCAGAGCCCCATTGAAGCAGCCTGGAGTAGCGTTACCCAATTCGTTAACGAACTGCTCTATTGAGTCGGATCTTTTCAACGCATCAGTTAAACCGGTTCGTTCACGAATTGAACACTACAGTAAACATCCGTATTAATGAAACTTATTCGAAAACTCGTAATACACAGCAATGTGTGCAGACAACATAGTCTATGCTGCGTCGAGGGACCACGACTGAGCATGGTGTAGTTGTGGCATGGTGACCCATTTGAAATCCCAGAAGGAAAACTATGCTTTTTGTCACATCCTTCATCACGTAACTATAAGATTAGATCGCTTTTTCAAAAGGAGCTTGTAACAACTTCATATGTGATGTCTTATTGGAAGAATGTGGGTGATTATATTGATTGGAAAAAAGTATGGACTCTGTCTTCGAAATACATAACTAACAAGGTTAGAGAAATCTCATTCAAATTGTTACACAGATTTTAAGAGGTTTAAATCAGACATAGATACAAGCTGTTCTTTTTGTGGTGACCCTAATGAAACTGATATGCATATCTTTTGGGATTGTCCTCACACACAGCTATTTTGGATTGAATTCTCTAATGTTATCAATCGCAGTGTACTCCAGGATTTCTCTCTGCTTTTTAAGGATGTACTGTTTGGCTTCTTTAATATACAAAAAGATCAAATTAATGAATATTTTATTATTGACCTATTATTACTTCTGGCAAAATGTCATATTCACCGCAGTAAATTCACTAATCAAAATCCTTTATATATGGTTTATAAAAAAGAGGTTCAACAGTATATCCAAACGATTTCATCTTCCAAGAATCTCAAGGCTTTTAAAACGGTTAATTTAATCTTTTTAATTTATTTTGTTAAATCTTTTCGTTTTGTATTATGTATTTATTTATTGATATTCTCTGTATTTTTATATTTGATACCTTGGCATTAATAATAATAAAAAAAAAAAACGTTATGGCATGAAAGAACAATTGAGTCGGTTCGTTTAAACGAAGTTTGAAAGAACCGATTCCCTGAATCGAGCCGGAGCTGGGTAGCATCATCATCACCAGCGCGCATGCGCATTCCTGTCCCCACTAGATCTCTTGCAGAAATTCCTCTTGCTGCCTTTACAAGAAATTAATTCCCACTTCTAACAAAAAATAACGAATGTTCTATGTGTTTACGTTTTCGAAAGCGATAAAGTGTTTTTCTTATCTGTTTGTAAAACTTAACAGCTTTGCCTCTGAAATCAGGGTAAGATGTTCAGATGTTGTTGCCATGACAAAACAGGGGGCTGATTCAGGTTTCCATGGTAACGGAGATAGGGTGGGTTTAAGAACTTTAATCTTACCCAGATTCATGCTGCTCAGTTTGGGTCATTGATTGCGACAATCATGACAAATGAAATCACAATGTCACTTGTACTGCCAGCTAGTGCTACGCGTGCATTCATCTGAAAGGTTATTATTCCAATAGCGTATCTACACATTCATTTATCCGAAAAGTGTTGCAATATAGTTGACTTTTTATCTTTGAACACAAGATGTCGCCAGCTCCAAAGTAATTAAATAAAGAACGTAAACCTAATTCATGTTCGCGTATGGGCGCTTTTATTATAAAAGAAAACAATTTTAATAAACAGTCTTCAAGAAAATATAACATTCGACAATAAATTAATATAAATACTGTAAAACAACTTTAAAAAAAAAAGATAAGCATATTAAACAGATGAAACCAAGCATACAAATGAATTCACTCTTCAAATTATTAGTGCATGTAGAACCTCTTTGTCTGCAGAGGCTGTAAATTTGTTCATTAAATCTCCCTGATTGTTTCAGACATATGTTTCAAACAGTAGTGCTTTCTTTTTATAGCATAGATCTTTCCTCCCCCATAGCAGAGGACACATACTGAATAAACATTTATACGTTTCTTATTAAAGTTCGGCACCCCCACCCCTTTCATTTTAAAACAGAACTCCAAGCATCTCTTGACTTCAGTAGTATGTTGTGTGCAGACTTGTTGGCAGTTTCTTTGGTCCTTCTATTTGTATGGTTACTTCAGGTACAACCTCGGTCTGTTAGTATTCCTGAGGCTGGTTCACCTGACCGCTAAACAACAACGCACCTGTGAATTTAAACGGGGGATATTACTATTAAGGGAGACAACCAACAGACAAAACTACACTGACACACATCCAGATAAAAGCACACGAAATGAAAGCACAACTGACCAGTGGGTTTGTGCTGAATAAGGAAATAGAAGGGTCTATCTAATTTGATCTCCTCAACAGCCATGCGAGAGTAGATGACAGCCGCTGTGGAATCACAGAAAAAATAAATAAAGTAAAATATGCATTTTGGTTTCACTATAATGACAGTTAATGCAATTAAATAACTGTTGTAGTGTATTGCAATTCAGTGTCTGTACCTGTGGCAGATGAGCCTTTGGTTCCTTCTTCATTCACCTCAAGTTTTACTCTCTGAAGGACCTTGGATACACATAAAGGTTCCTCAGCTAATTGTACAAAGAGAGAGAGAGAGAAACAACTATTAGATTTATCAAAAAAGAGAATCCATTAACATTTATTCTTTAACAACAGCATTGCCAAAAATGAAATCTGACAATTTCCAATACTCACTGGTAATGCGAGAGAAATCAGCTTTGCTCTGGCTGAAAATGTCTCCAAGACCCATCTTGCTCAGTGTGGACTTAAGATCAATTTCTGTATCCATGGAGAACCTGAGATATCATCATTATATAACACATACATTAGGCTTCGTGTTTTAATATGTTCATCGCAATATAAAAATCCTACGCAGGTTCACAGAAATAGATGCGTTACCTTGGCATAGCAAGTTGTTTGTTAATCTTTCTCATCTGTTTTCTCCATTGGTGAATCCTGCTGCTTCTCAGCTCTTTGTTCAAGGCCAAAAGAGGCACATCCCTCTCAAATGGCATCACCAGAAGCATACTTAGCGACTCCCCCTCATAAGGCACCTCAATGACATCATAGTCCACACCGTCTTCAGTCACAAACTCACCTACATGGAGAAAAAGTTTGTAAATAACCATTACAAATTTCTTAATTTTCTCATCAGTTCCTTTAAACTAGGGGTAGGCAAGTTCGGTCCTAGAGAGCCGCAGTCCTGCAGAGTTCAGCTCCAACCCTGGAGGAGGAGGGGGAAAAAAAACCCTCACTTGATTAGCTTGTTCAGGTGTGTTTGATTAGGGTTGGAGATGAGGCTTCGTGTTTTAATATGTTCATCGCAATATAAAAATCCTACGCAGGTTCACAGAAATAGATGCGTTACCTTGGCATAGCAAGTTGTTTGTTAATCTTTCTCATCTGTTTTCTCCATTGGTGAATCCTGCTGCTTCTCAGCTCTTTGTTCAAGGCCAAAAGAGGCACATCCCTCTCAAATGGCATCACCAGAAGCATACTTAGCGACTCCCCCTCATAAGGCACCTCAATGACATCATAGTCCACACCGTCTTCAGTCACAAACTCACCTACATGGAGAAAAATTTTGTAAATAACCATTACAAATTTCTTAATTTTCTCATCAGTTCCTTTAAACTAGGGGTAGGCAAGTTCGGTCCTAGGGAGCCGCAGTCCTGCAGAGTTCAGCTCCAACCCTGGAGGAGGAGGGGGAAAAAAAACCCTCACTTGATTAGCTTGTTCAGGTGTGTTTGATTAGGGTTGGAGATGAACTCTGCAGGACTGCGGCTCTCTAGGACCGAACTTGCCTACCCCTGCTTTAAACAAATCGTTGACACTCACCACAGTTGAATTTTGAAGTCATAGTCATCATAGGAACAGATACAGCACTGCCGTTGCCTCTGTGGAATAGCTGTTCCCTAGTAAGTTTAGGGTCAAACGGTGTCTTCCAGACCCCATGGAAGTGGAGGGCATTCAACAGGACCAAGCGTGTCAGTTCACTCAACACCCCAGAGGGGAGGAAGTCAGTAATCATTCCTAAGAAATGAAACCAATAAATCAGTTAATCGTCTTGTAAATGTGTATGGTGAGTGAGTTTACATTTAATAATTTAGCAGGCATTTTTATTCAAATTGATGTAGAAATGAGGAACATCACAGGCAATGTAATCAAAATAGAAGTGACTTTAAAATACTTACCACCAGTGTGGTCAGATGTCCAGGAGTTGATCACCTTCCGGGCCATCTCTGGTTGGCTGAAGTCTATTTGGTGAGGGACACTCTGGAAGGCTTTGGTCAGGCTGCACCTAAAAAGCTTTTCCAGGATTATCTTCTGGTTAACCATGACACCGCTGGCTACTTCTACCCCGTCTTCACTGGCCAGATCTCTTTGAAGAAGCCTCTGTAGCTTTGGCATTCCTCGTGCTATCAAAGAAAAAAAAAAAAAAAAAGAGTTTGAAAAACAACAATCTTTACACATTGCATTAGGAATGTAAGATATGATTTAAACATAAGAATGCAAGATATAAATGATACGCAAAGGCCTATTCTCTACATACATATATATGTGCTTTATCAAAATTATCTATCTATCTATAGTTTTTCTAAGCCCTATTCGCACGGGATTAGTATTATCTGGGGACCTTGTGTGATTTTGAAATTACTTTACAAATTACAGACATGGCCGATTGGCACGGGATTAAGATCACAGACAACCTTTGCAACTATTACAAATGACTGGAAGTCACCAGGTAATACTAATCCCGTGCGAATAGGGTTTAAGCTGTTCCAGAACATAATAGAATTACATCAACTGCTCTCATTCATCTACCTTGCAGTGAGTAGCCCATCTTGGAGGTGAGCATTTGAAGAGTGCTGCCATAAGCACCCAGCTGAGCCATGCCTAGCACTGAAGAGATGCCATAGGGAGAGAGAACCAGATTTCTGTCCGGAGCAGATTGGATGGCTTCGGAGAACACCTGCAGCCCAAAATCTGTCTGTTTCTCCTGCATAAGGTTGCACAAGCTTGACCCACAAAGGGTAAAGATCAGCAGTACACTCGGGCTCTGCATCCTGAATAACTGAGGAAGACGAGAGAGATGTCAGCTGTCAATTGTAGATAGAACAGATTTTATTAAACAAAGAAAAAGCTCCATTGGATCCCCCCCCCCCCCCCCAAAAAAAAAAAAAAAACCCCCGTTTTTTTCTCCC